TATATATGTATATATATATATAAAATATGAAACTCAAAGCGATATGTACTGAATATTATTAGCAGATGTTTAACCTCTCTGAAATCGCCAAAATCAGCTGTTACTATAAACCATTTACAACAGCTCAAGCCATCTTAAGGGAAACGGATCGAACTAATTTGTACTCCCAATATCTACAACTGTTCTATTGTAACAGTTAGTTCTGTGAAACTAATCGGAAACATGTGAAACTGTGGTTTGTGCTGTATAGAAAACTATTTTCGTATGTTTTGATGTCTTTAGAAAGTATTTGTATACAGTTGTACATTTATAACAAATTGTATTAGGTGTACAACTTTGCTTCCGCCATTTTTTTCGAAATTCGAAGCTTTATTGTAAAAAACTGGTTATACATTTATGATTCAAAGTATTGTCCATCGCTGGCCACTACTTTTTCCCATATTTCGGGTAGCGTACGAATCCCGCGTCGAAAAAACTGGTCAACTTTTGAGGCTATCCACGAATCGATCCAATTTTTTACTTCTTCATAAGACCGGAAGTGCTGGTCAGCCAGGCCGTGTGCCATTGATCGAAACAAGTGATAGTCAGAGGGAGCAATGTCTGGAGAATACAGCGGGTGGGGTAGGACTTCCCATTTCAATGTTTCCAAGTATGTCTTGACCACTTTCGCAACATGGGGTCGAGCATTGTCATGCTGCAAAATCACTTTATCGTATCTATTGTTGTATTGCGGCCGTTTGTCTTTCAATGCTCGGCTCAAACGCATCAATTGCGTTCGATACCGATCGCCTGTGATTGTTCCAGTCGGTTTTAAGTTTCAGTTCATAATACACTACGAGCTGGTCCCATCAAATACAGAGCATGACTTTGGAGACGTGAATATTCGGTTTGGCCGTCGAGGTGGAAGCATGGCCGGGAACTCCCTATGATTTTCTGCGCTTGGGATTATCGTAATGAACCCATTTTTCGTCCCCAGTCTCAATGCGATGCAGAAATCCCTTCCGTCTTTGCCCTTCAAGCAGCTGGTCACAAGCAAATGCCGTTCAACATCTCTCGGCTTTAATTCGTACGGCATCCAATTTCCTTGCTTCTGAATCATTCCCATGGCTTTGAGGCGTTTTGAAATGGCTTGTTGAGTCACTCCCAATGATCGTACCAATTCTTCTTGATTTTGACACGAGTCTTGCTAATGCCTCCAATTCTGCATCTTCGAAAATCTTCTCTCTTCCACCGCTATGCCGGTCTTCGACGTCAAAATCACCGTTCTTGAAGCGTTGAAACCACTCACGACACGTTCTTTCCCTAATAGCGGCCTCACCATAAGTATTTGAGAGCATTCGATGAGCCTCAGCCGCAGATTTCTTCATATTGAAGCAAAAAATTAAAACCTCCCGCAAATGACGAGAATTTGGCTCGTAAACTGACATTTTCAATCGAGAATAACTTTATGATGCAGAATCGACTAATGTTTCTATGGGGTTATGTTGACAGATGCTCAAGTTTATTGTATGACGTCTATGATCTATTTATTTCGACCACCACTTATCGTTAAAGTCATCTATAAGAAAACGGCGGAAGCAAAGTTGTATACCTAATAGATAAATTGTTATA